ATTTAGATCCAGGGCTAAATCAAGAAGAGCCTTTATTTAAAATTGATTTTCATTTAAATAATATAACTGTTTTCAGGCTGATCCAGCATGCATTTTTAAAACACGGCAACTCAAAAATTTAAGCTGCTCAGAAAAGTACTGAAACGTCATGAAAATAATTGATATAGATCCAGGGCTAAATCAAGAAGAGCCTTTATTTAAAATTGATTTTCATTTAAATAATATAACTGTTTTCAGGCTGATCCAGCATGCATTCTTAAAACACGGCAACTCAAAAATTTAAGCTGCTCAGAAAAGTACTGAAACGTCATTAAAATAATTAATTTAGATCCAGCGTTCTAACAAACCATTAATCACTTCAAGTGATATAGAGTTCCATTCCTGTTGTAAAATGTCCCATAACTGACTTCGATTCAAATATCAGAGCATCGTTTGCAAGAACAAACAAATTTTAGATGAAATGTGACATCTATGAGATATTGTTTTAATTATATTCATAATAAGTTCCTTGTAGTAACAATAATTACAATAATAAATAAGAATATTTGTTTTATAATCAATATTAATTATTTGAAAATATAGAAAACATTAAAATTAAAAAGTTCTTTGGTCGAAGATGTATAGACCAAAGGACCGCAAATGTGGAATGCTTAAAAATCGAGAAAAGTACACATGTTTTTCAAAATTCTATAACTTCGTCAAAAAAAATCAAATCGATTTGAAATTTTGAGGACTTACATAGAACTGTTCAAATAACTATTTTCTATTAACAGAAAGTACAAAATTTTTTTTTTGCAAGTTTGGCAAGTGTTCAAACTTAACAACTTTTTTCACCATAGAAACAACTCATGATGAAAAGGTGGATTCAGTTCGCAAAAAACAAAGTATTGCAATTTGATCATATGTAACTAACTGTAAAGAGTTCACATTAGAACATATCAAATTTTCATGCCATTTGAATGATTTTTCGCAGTTCTATGAACATTTGAATTTAGAACTTTTTTTCGTAGATGTCAAAATTTTCGCAAACTTTTGACCGGTAGTGTATATAGGTACTATCAGAGTCGACGTGACTTAGGGGATAGAGCGTTCGACTTCCAATGAGGTGAATCGGGTTCGAATCCCTGCAATGGTTGGTTGATTCCGTTCCTGGCTTGCACTGACCACAGTGCTGACTTAAAATATCCTCATTGGTAGATGGTATTGGGTTAAAGTCGCCTTCAAAAATTCAAAATACAAAGCGGCCATACTTTTTGTTTGTCTGATTTGCACCTACAATGCACAATAAATTCAGAGCAATGTAAAGCAATTAAAAGTGCAATAGCTTTCACAGAAATTGGAAATAAAAAACATGTTCTAAACAAAATTGACTATTTCAGCTCGTCAAATTTTTATTCTTCTGTTGCATCGCAGTAGACCAGCTCTCAGCAGTAGACCTGATATTTTTATTAATATCGATTAATTGACGAAGTGAAAATCGATAGTTAGATTTTTTATAACATCATATTCCCTTTATACTTTTCTACATAATTCCGTAATATCAAGTTTCTAAGTTTTATGGTTTTTGTGTAGCAAAACAAAATGTTATGTAAATTTTAACATTCCAAAGCAACAGCGATGGCGCTAAGTTTTTTAAACTATAGCAAGATTTCTGCAGTCAAAAATGTATTTTAATTTTTGTTATTGAAAATTCCTCAATAGTTTTATTATTAAATGTCCGTTTGTATTGAAAAATGAGGTTTTTTTATTTAGCGCGAATGGTATTATTGCTTGTAAAGTTGAATTTTCGTTCATTATTTGAGCTACGAAACTTGAAATATTATCTGAAGCACAATTATTTGAGTTGCAAAACATGGAATATTTTCTGAAGCACAATTATTTGAGTTGTAAAAAGTGAAATATTTTCTGAAGCACAATTATTTGAGCTGAAAATCATGAAATATTTTCTGAAGCCAAGTAATGAAACAAAACATGACATGCTTGGTAAGAGAAAAAAGAAAAGAAAAACGCAAACACATAGTAGTAATATAATTACGCAGAATATTTCATTTAAATATGTTTAACAAAATGAATTTCTTTTTAAAAGTTAATTACCAAACGTTAAAGCTAATTATAGCTTCTGTTATTGCCATAACGTATTTCGTGCAAGTAAACATTATTTTTCCAAATTTTGCTAAACATCTCTCTAGTGAGCCTTATATAAAATATAATTACCTTAGAATATTCTAAATGCATACACAAAAGATAAAAGAGATTTTAATTGTTGGAAAAACAAACCCTCGTTTAGCAAAATAATAAATATAAAATAATTAAATTTTTCACCTCCATCAATAAATAGTAATAAAATGACATTCATTTTAATGAAGGTTAAATGTTCTGTTATTCATTTGGGACTATTAAGTTTACGATTACTTCAGTGTCCATAATTATGTTAAAAAAAAAGCTATTTATAAATTACTGAACCTTAAATAATTATGTGTAAACGCAGAAGTATTTACTGTCAAATGTGTCCATAAAATTTAGTTTTCAATTTTGAATTCAACGTTTATAGTCATTTCCCAATGATTCAATTACGTTTAGGAAATTCCCAAAAATTCAATTACGTTTAATACTTACTCACAGAATTCAGCAGTCCTTGATAATTATTTTGTACATGCACGTAATTGATCAATATTTGACAAACTAGAATAATTGGAGTAACTTTTTATGTGACTATTGAGATTTAATCTTATTAATTTGATCGTTCTCTAGTTCAGGTCAAAAAATGGTGTGGCAGAAATAAAATTCTTGGCCATAGATGGCGGCACTGGCAAATATGATCAATCGCACCCATTGAGTTAATATCCTGCGTCAACAACAACAACAACATTGCTGCAGATTCACATTGTGAATTTTAACATGAGGAAAAAAACTATCCCGTTAAAATCAAAGTTTCCGATATATGATTTATATGTTTTAAAAAAACACTTATTAGAACTTAGCAATATTTCCAGTAAAATTAACATAAGAAATAAAAAAAAAGTAAGTAATCCTTTATATATATATATAAAACTATTTTTTTATTGTTTTCGCTCCAGCATGAGCAACTAAATTAGAGGTTACGTAACAAGACTTTTTCTAGAAACAGTTTTGTAAATTAAGATGAAGGCATCGAAAGAAAAAAAAAATTCTAAGTTAATTTAAAAGCATTTGATGAAATCTATTACGACTACCTTCTCAGAATAATTTAGTCCTTGTGATGGTTTTTAAATATTCCAGTCGTATTCTGTAAGTTTGTTTTTCGTTTGAGTTAGGAAGCAAACAAAATCGGAAAATTCTCTCTGGAAAGATTAAATTTCTTATAATTAATTAAGGCGTAATTTAATTACGATGTTTATGCTTGCGCGATTACATAAAAACTTCAGTTGTTTTAGTTGTTAAATCGAAGCTAATAAAAATACTTTCCAGTTGATAGGAATTCTAGGAATTATGCTGGTAGCTCCAAATACATAAACAGTTTTTTTAAGTAGGGATTTTTCGTAGAATTTCAGATTCCTTAACTGTTTGACGGTTAAAACTAAAAGCTAACAAATAAGTGCAGAGCCTAACACAAATACCACAATTGCATGCATAATTATATATTTCTAGATAATAATATTAATTTTTAATATTATTATTTGGATATTTAATATGTATTTCCAGATAGTAATATATAAAATTTATTGCATATACAATATATTAAGTGTCGATGAATACAATGAAGCAAACAACTAATCAGTTAATAGACTGATAAAAACAAATTTTTGAACTTTAACGATAGGGAAACAGTATCAACGCGCAAATTACTTAGGTAAATTGCTTCCGTACTTTAACGATAGGGAAACAGTCAACGCGCAAATTACTTAGGTAAATCGCTTCCGTACTTTAACGGCAGGGAAACAGTCAACGCTCTAATTACCTAGGTAAATTGCTTCCGTACTTTAACGGCAGGGAAACAGTGAACGCGCAAATTACCTAGGTAAATTGCTTCCGTACTTTAACGGCAGGGAAGCCATCAATGCTCAAATTACCTAGGTAAATTGCTTCCGTACTTTGACGACAGGGAAACCATCAATGCGCAAATTACCTAGGTAAACTGCTTCCGTACTTTAACGACAGGGAAACAGTTAATGCGCAAATTACTTAGGTAAACAGCTTCCGTACTTTAACGATTACCCAATCGAATCTGCAATTTAGCTAGGTAATGTGCATAGTAAAGGTTTTCGAGCTTTAAAGGTAGCATAAGTGTTCATTTCTTTTATTTAAGAGCCAGACGGCAATTAAATGGTTTTTAATACCTGGTCAAGACTGGTGCCGTACGTCAGATCTCGAAAGAGTGATACAGCCGCTCTTAGTATAAAAGATGCAAATAGTTGAAGATGCAAATTATTGCGAGGACATCTTAACCTCCTGAAAGAATTAAAACAATAATCACGCATCCTCATAAATAAACATAGCTCTAAATGAAGCTCATAATGTTTCACACATACCTCACGCTTCCTAATAGAAGACAAGCTATCAATAAAAGTGTTAGAGATAGGGCATAACCCACTTGTGAAATTGCTTTAATAACTGGAATATGTACCTGAAAGTGAATAACACTCACATAGTTCATAAAACTCGCACTGTTACTAGCACTCACTTTATTATTAAAATTCACATTATTGTTAAAACTCGCATTCTTACTAGATTTCACATTGTTGTTAACGCTCGCAATATTATTAAAACTTATTTTTGTATTTAAAACTCACATTGTTGTTAGAACGCACATTGCTATTAAATTTACATTGTTATTTGAATTTATTGTTGTTATTAATTTGAAATGAAAACGAAAATTGTCATAAATATCGAGTAATACACCTAGACCCCACCCCAAAAAAAATATTTTTTAACCCCTTCCTTCTCGCTCCCGTGAAAATGACGGGGTGAGGTTTCGCCCTCTATTTCTCGCTCCCGTTAAATTTCCTGGCTGGAGTGTTCAGTAGTAACGCGCCAATAAGAATAAAACTAATTCATTTCTTTTGCCGTGAAAACATTTTATTTCTCATTTTACACACCAGATGGCAGTACCAGGATATTTTCATGTTAATTGTAGATAGTTAGTTTATTTTAAACTAGATGTCAGCACTAATCAAATATGTGTATTTGGCAAAAAGGCACTTGTATGACCGTTTTTTTAAAAATTAACCAATCGTTAAGGGGTTAACACTGATTGGGAAATTTAAAAATTATTATAGGTTCACTGAGCAGAATATTATCCTACACTTGGAAACACCAATTATTGAATGAGCGTTAAGATCCGAAACCTGCCACTAACGTAGTGTGGGTATTTCGATCCTGATTAATCGTTAAAACGTGGCATTTATTAACGTTGGCAACTGTTCTTTCCATTCTATTTCGAGTAAGCCAAACCCGTCAAGTATCCATTCTCTTAAGTGACACATTCAAAATTCTTTCAGAAACGTTCTTTCTCAAAGATTTCAATTCTTTCACAATATAATGTACACAGAGATTTAACAGAAAGACAGGCGCACACGTACACAAAACAAAAATATAATCACGGTGACAATAAAATACATAAACGAATAATAAATATAAGTTAAGTAAAATAAGTGAACGAGTGAGAATGATATTTCTACGAATTCCACGTGTGATATGGCTCTATATTTAATTAATTTATCGTTAATTAACATTCTAAATCAGGTAGAGAAACTATAGCGCAACTTTAATACGCCATTTTTCTAATAAATATTAGTTGGGCCGTGGTGGCTCAGGGGATAGAGAGCTCTTCTCTCAATGAGGTGAACCGGGTTCGACTCCCGGCGAAGACTGGTTTATTCGAATTCTCCACCCGGCTCGCACCGACCACAGTGCTGACGTAAAATATCCTCAGTGGTAGACGCATCATAAGTTAGAGTCCCCTTGCCGTCCGGCTAACCGTGGGAGGTTCTTCGTGGTTTTCCTCTCCATGTAAAGCAAATGCGGGTTAATGAATCAAAAAGTCCTCCACGAAGGCAAATTTCTCCCAATCCTTGATCCAGGAGCTTCCTTGTCTTTTGGATTGGGCTCAAAATTACAAGGCTACGGAGTTGAACATTGGTAACCGTAAACTGAAAATTTGGTCGGCTGTTCAACGACGGTTATAAAATATAAAATGAAGATTAGCTGGTTCTGGCGTGGGATAAGGGTGGATAAGGGATGCCTTCTTCTTGAAGTGCATGTACCCAATTAGATTAATGGCATACTGTACTAGTAATATTTTAGCATTATGTACCATTAATAATGAATCATTTTGTCCACCTGATACTCTGTTTTGCGATATTTTGTCCGCATTAGATTTAGACCTACGATATTTCATCAGTATTTGGTGCTACAGTATTTTGTCGAGGACATGCAGATGATTCATTTCCGTGGTATTTTGATTTAATGAGCCACGATATTTTGACCGAAGGCGTTGAAGAATGCTTATATAGTGTTAATCAAATAAACTCTTCAAGAAAGGTTGATATACTTACATCGAAAACGCCGTCTACATTGTTGGGCGGTGGAACTGGATCACCACAAAGTGAGTAATTGGTCCATGTTTTGTTCAGAAGAGGATGCGACCACCACGAGCCGTCCTCAGTACAAAACTTACTCGCAGAAGCTGTAATAAAATAAAAGTTTAATTTAATGATGAGTCACTACACCCAACCCACTTGATTGGAATATGCAGTTGGTGGTTCTAAGAAGAACATTTTGCTGGTTAAAGGTTTAACGTTAAATACAATTTTTTGACGCACTTTAAGATTCTATGTAAAATCTTCATTAACATGTGATACTATACAGCTTTACTGTTTTATTGCGACTGAAACCGGTTTGCACTTATTTGCACCAGTTGGTTAAATTAGACGATGTATAACATAAATTCGATGATTGGATATATTGGACGATATATTATATAAATATAGAATATTTATTATATCAAGCATTATATTAGTAAATTATAATAATTCGATCAAATTATTAGACGCATTGTAGTGTTTTAATAATGACATGTTTTGCACGAGTTTATAGGCAATACTTTTATATTTAAACATGTAATTGGGTTTTTATTCGGAAGATTTTTCATACACTTCCCATTTGTATTTATTCTTAACGCATTGCATTACAATGTTAACCCATTGATACACGTAACGTAAACAAGTACAAACAGTCAGATAAAAACAATAAAGCTGTATAGAATATCACCTGATAATTAAGATTTTACATAGAATCTTATAGTGCGTCTAAATAATTTGTGAAGGGACTGTATGTTGAAATTTATTTGAAAAGAAGTTGTTGAAGAATTATTTGAAAAAATTTGTATGTTGAAATTTACATTAAATAACCATTGGGTAGGAGTGTTGTTACAGAATGCAAAAAGGAAAAAAAAACACCTACATCTTACGTATTACTCACGAAAACTGATAGAATGGGATATTATGCCATGAATACAGATGAATTTCTAACTGTCTTAATAGATTAGAAATGCGCTTATTCCACTATTACATATATTGAATGTGAATGTTAAGAAGAAATATGCAATAGGAATGTAATCCATGCTGTAAATGAAGGATTATTTTAGGAATAATATTTATATGGGTTCTGTCAATAAATTAGGTCTGTTCAAATATTACGTAAGCACATTTTTGGTAATTTATCACTCCATTTTGTTATCAAAAGTGAGCATATCACAAAACCCCAATCATGCTTACGTAAGAAAATCGCAATCTCCTTCCCTGGTTTTTGCTTGAGCTTTGACTTTTACTGTAGTAATCTTTTTTTAGGTTTAAATTAAAACTAACGACGCAATTTTTTTGTTTTAGTTTTTTAGTTTCAGTTAGAAATGTTTTATTTCTAATTTGCACATTCCCCAAAATCAAATTTCTTTCAAAATTCAAAATTTTTACACTTATGTTTTGTTACAATTGTTACCTTTATTTTTAAGAAAATTTTTTAAAATAAAAATATTTTATTGTCCTACGTAAGCATTGCTCACACTTCTTCTCTTTCTAGTCAGCAAAAATCAAAAATCAAAAATCCTCTGTTCAGTGCTTACGTGATTTTTGCCTTGCGTAATTGAAAAGCCCCATTCTAATACTTTTATTAGAATTATAAACAGTTCAAAAAAAATTCAAACAAAATATTACAATAAAATACTGTTCATGGACTGCCTGGTGAAGGAGTGCCTGATTGCCTCAAAAATGACTTGACTCCAATTACGAAAAACGAAAGAAGATAGAAATTTTGCTGGATATGAAGTATGAAGCCGGAGAAATTAATCTCATGCAGTTTCCAAATTATTGACAATGTTTCTCAGTTGAGAGCGGTACTGGATGATAAAAATATCATGAGACAATGTTTTCTTCAGCATGCCAGATTATCGAAAACTAAAATATTATTTTGCCTCCAGACTGATTACATTTGCTATTTTGATAACACTGTTCAATATAATATAATGAGAATGTCTGATATGTAAAACAGTTAACTCACTGATCTAGTAGTTCAGTTTTCAATAAACATAATTTTTGACATGTTTTAATATAGATATATACATATATACCATCATCAATGGCTCGACAGCCCAGTGTGGGTCTTGGACTTCTCAAGAAGTTTTTTTCCAGACCATTCCTTTTCGGGCTAGCGTATATATATATAATCTAGTGGTGGCAGTTGTGTGAGCAGAAAAAAATTATACTTTCTAATATTGTATGAATATAGCCAAACCAAAATATATCAATACAATAGCGTATAACTTATAATAACTTAATTAAATTATGATTTTTTTAAAAATGAAGGCCAATAATTATAATAATTATTAGGGTTTTATTAGCTTAATGAACTGTAATGTAAATAACATATTTGTTTACGAATTTTATGAGATAAGCTCCTAAAACCTAAATTCTTATTAAGATGGAGGAGATTTTTCCATCATTTTGTCAAAAATAGTCAATCGAAATGTATCAATTATTTTTAAAATAGCTTTTCTTTGTTAGATAACTAGCAGCAGCTTCTGTTAACTAAATTTTAAATCAATTTGATAGAGCTTAATTTCCTAAATTGATTTTAGCAAACCGTACTTCCTTCCAATTTTCCTTATTTAATTTTTGAAATAATCGGTTATTATGGAGACAGCTGTATTAAGTATAGTTTGTTCACCAGGAGTTGGCACTTGGCTCCGCCTCCATCTCGTGGTATCCGACGATACTATTTCACTATTTTTGGGAGAAGGTTGTGAACAATCTTGAACAAGGTTGCTACTTGGCGATCATATGACAAAAATATTTAATTCTCAATCTTTATGTGCATTTTGTTAACATTATATATTTCATACATTTGATGATATTTCTTTGCTTTGAGTGAATAGTTTGTCCTTTTTGATACATTTTGCTGGGAAAACAGCATTTCTTAAATATAAAATATATTTAATTAGCTAGTGTAACGAAAGGTATAATAGCAAGTGATAAAGCGAAATAAGTGTCTGAAAAAGAATTCACTGTTTCAGTTTGGCACGCTTTAAGGGTTATCACATTTTCAAGCGCGGAGATGTTTCTCCTCTTTCTCCCGTGCTGAAATGAACTCTACGTCCGAGGAGGTGGAGCCAAATGCCAACTCCGGGTGAACGAACTATAATTATGTTTTGAAATATGTATTTATCACTCAAAAAATTTTAAAAATAAATAAATTGGTATTTATAAAAATAATGATTTTTCTCCTTGAATTAGGTTAGACTATATTTTTAGCTGCCCCTTGGATGAGTGATGCTGTTTAATTTATGTCAACTTGCACAGAAACCTCCATATGAGGTAAGTGGAGCTTTTTACTTCAGAAATCAGATAATACGCATATCCATTATTACGTTATTCCTTTGATTTATCTTAGTATAAAATGCATTTCCATCGGATTATTTTTAAATTTTCTCTTCAAAACGGCTGACCTTTGAGACCTTTGTATCGGAGTTTTTTTTAAATTTTAATTAGGCTTCCTTTTCAGTGTCTTTTTATTTTGTTTGGCATTGCACGTAAACGAGACATAAATTGCACATGGACAATAATAATAATTAAAACGCTGATATTACTAACAAGACATTGATAATAATTAAAACGCTGTATTTATACCGTTGTTAGTTTATGCGTTATAGTTTATGCATTCGCATTTAGTGTAGGGTCTGATAAAACTGGTTAAGCTAAACAAAACTAGGATTCAGCATTTTTAACTAAACTACTACCGCAATTTATTGGAAATCAAGTCAAACACCAGTTGCAAATAGAAGTCCTGCTTTTTAAAGATAACTGAAAAACAGAATGCGCAATTTTTTTCTGTCGTTTTTGAAAATTGGATTTAAAATGTTATTAATCTCCCGCCCAATTAAAATCTCTTGATTTTGATTGCTTGAAGCTTTATTTTAGGCGAGGTCAACATCTAATTAAATCTTCCGTTTCAGTTATTGTTTACAACTGTTAAAACAACCTTTTTTTTATCGCATTTAAAACATTGTGAGCGTTTTTTTTTTTACTGTAAAGTGTCAATGTTGTTTAAAACCCTGACATTTTCAGTCGGTAGATATGTTTCCCTATATTTTAAGTCAAAATTTGTAGAAGTTCAGTGTTTCAACTGTAAGTGATTGTAACCTGCAGTATAACAAATGAAAGTTTTGTTTGTTATTACTGTTTTTTAAATAGGATTGATTCACGTTACACTCAAAATATATTCCTTCACTTTAAAACTACTTCATCGTTGGAGGTTTATAATGTTGCTATAAGTATATTTAAGTTTATGGCAAAAATATTTCTCATTATTTCTGTGTACGAATTTTTATATACATGATTTTCTCATTATTTCCACATCCGACATGATGAAATATAACTAGGCTTATGCATGGTTTCAAAATTCTTTTGATTTACTCTTTAAGGCTACACAGTACCCAAAAATTCGCAAAAATATGCAAAAAAATATTTTTGCATTTTTGGGTGGCTAATGTGGNAACAAATGAAAGTTTTGTTTGTTATTTCTGTTTTTTAAATAGGATTGATTCACGTTACACTCAAAATATATTCCTTCACTTTAAAACTACTTCATCGTTGGAGGTTTATAATGTTGCTATAAGTATATTTTAGTTCATGGCAAAAAATATTTCTCATTATTTCTGTGTACGAATTTTTATATACATGATTTTTTCATTATTTCCACATCCGACATGATGAAATATAACTAGGTTTATGCATGGTTTCAAAATTCTTTTGATTTACTCTTTAAAATACACTTTTCTTACATTCAATCATTTTTATTTTAAAAACACTGAAAGGCTGTTTATTGTACAAATAATGAAAATCTGAGTAATTTTATTCACGAAATTCCTAAAGGAAAAAAAAAGACCCAATTTTGTCTGACTTTCCACTACTAACTCAACTATAGAAATGCGAAATTCACGTTTTAATATTATTTTTCATAAAATTGTTTAATTTCAAAAGCACTCCACGCAAAGTTTATATTACGAGCTACTTCTATAGTTAAAGAATGAAAATCTTTTCTTTCTCTTTTCAGATGAAAATTTAATAATATCATTCTAAATTCTCATTTAATTTAAGTTTTATATGACACTGTTGGTTGTTTGTTGAAATGGTG